TATGTATATATGTATATATGTATGTATGTATGTATGTATGTATGTATGTATGTATGTATGTATGTATGTATGTATGTATGCATGCATGCATGTATGTATGTATGTATGTATATATATAAATATGCATAGATGTATTCTCGGCTGAGAAGGGATGTTTTATATATAGGATTCTAGGGGTTTAGGTGTTTTTTTATCCACACAGTTTAACGGATCATCGGCTGTTGCTATGGCATGTCTGGATTGCTTTTTATTGATAAAGCTGTCGGAGTACAAGTCTTTGCTCCTACCAGTTCATCTGCCAGAGAATATCATGAACTACTTGCTTGTGCCTGTACCATATGCCTATACCGTCGTTCACGGCTCTATACACCCCGCAGTGAATGGTATTGTCACATTAGGTAGGGTGTATTCGCTTATATTACCTACTGCTGCCTGTACAGGAGCATATGTTGTATATGGGGACAGAGACGTACCGAACTGAGAATGCACTCGACTCGTATGTCCATCGACATGGAGGCGATTGTAATGCCTCGACAGATATGGAACAGACCATGTTCCAGGTATGTAATTGTGGTTTATGGTTAGTTGCTTATCATTCTCTGGTTGTAAAAAGCACATGTGCACACACCTATGTATATATATATATATACATATATATATATATTATATATATATATATTTATAGGTTCCTTGACCTATTGTTTGTGCAAGTACTAATACACTTATCACTGCTTATTGTGATTCTGTTATCTAGACCTTCTGCAATAGTTTATGTATTCATACACCCTACCTCACAAGTAGCAGTGACGTACTCGTCTATCACACCTTGCCATTATTTCTAACACAACAAGGATAACATCTTACACATTTGGAAACCTCACATTTGGTTCTTAAACCCTATATAGTTTAATGTGCAGGATGGTTTCCTGGAGAAGGCTCTGGCTATATTCTCCCGATTCTTTAAAGAACCACTGCTGATGGAAGATGCCATAGTACGAGAGGTCAGTGTTTGTGAGCTACTAATGGTGTCGGATGAAATCGCGTATATACGTGAGAATATGGTATATGAGGATGATATGTACATACATATATATATACATACATATATATATATATATATATATATATATATATAATATATACACA